ATTATAATTGATTATGATATAGCGTATTGGTATATCATAATTGATGATAATATGACATGCTAATTTAATATTATAATATGATCATGTGACATTTTTCACCTTACATATCAATGTCATGTAAGTGCCATATAAATATAAAATGACAAATAATATTTTTATTAATAATAATTAATCAATCATTAATCATAAAAATTTATTTATTTTAAAATAAAAATACAAAACTTAATTAAATATAATAAAAAATAAAATTTTATTTAAATATATTTAAATAATTGGGGTAATTATTTAACAATTACCCCAACTTAAAAATATTTGTCACCAAAGAAAAGGCTATCGTTTCGATGGGCACAAGTCCAACGACATATACCTTCTATTGGGCCGACCAGCCCAAAATCCCAATGCACATCAAATCGGCAAACTCTTACCAAGAAACTAAACTGCTTCATCAAAATTGTGTCCGGGAGGAAGAAACTCGACAGCCATGGCGAGCGAGATTCTTCCCGTCGCCTCTGTCGCCACGATCTCACTAGAAAAACGACAGCGTTCAATATTTGACCTCCCAGCATACTTCTTCGATTCTTGTCGCTTACTTTCTCCTTCTTTAATTTCAGACTTTGAGTCCCTCTCAATTTCTGAGAGCTCTTCTCTGGAAAACCAAAACAACGCCGACGACGGGGAAGAAAAGAGTTCCACGAGCGGCGTCGCTGTGCCTAGATGGACTTGCAACACCTGCAAGGCTGAGTTTGACTCTCTCCAGGACCAGCGCTCCCACTTCAAATCCGACCTTCATCGTTTCAACGTAAACATCTCACCTTTTTGTTTCTTTTCAATTTGCTTTATTTTATTTCAAAAGAAAGATTTTCTCTTTAATGCCCGGGAGATGCTATTAATACATAATTGCCGATAGAGAACAAATATTCAGTATTTCGATTTACTCCTTGATTATAGGTAAAATTAAGCATTGCTGGAAAGGATATTGTAAAGGAAGAAGATTTTGATGAGTTGACTACGCATTCTTTCAAAGACTATGAGGTTTCGAGTATTTCAGGATCTGAGGATGAAGCTGACAGGGTGGCTTATCTTCGCAATTGTGCGCACAGGGGATCAGTTGAAAATGTTAGGCAGAAGCTGTTTATCCAACTTCAAACGGGAGAGAGAATTTCAGTTTGGAAGTCATTAATTATGAACGAGTTGGAAAGTATTTCATATGAGAATGATAAAGAAGTATGCAATGAAAATGGTGGGTGTTTGAGAGAAAATGAGGTGATTGAGAGATTGAAAACCTCAATTCAAGAGGCTAGAGATAATACATGTTTAAGGATTGTGTTGCTTTCAAGTGGTGGGCACTTTGCTGGCTGTGTCTTTGACGGTAACTCAGTTGTAGCTCACAAAACATTCCACAGGTCTGTATTATATTTTTTATCAAGAGTCCTAAGTGCTGTTGTTATTGTTAGGATGTTAGTAATAGAAAGCAAAGCAAACATCATGTTTTTTAATAGAATATAGTGTGTTAATGCTGTAATCCCTTTCGTTATCATGAAGATATGTGGTGAGGGCCAAGGCTGGTAAGAAACAGTCATTGAAAGATGCAACTGGGAAGGCTGCACATTCTGCTGGAGCTGCACTCCGGCGGCATAATGAACTTGCATTGAAGAAGGTATTGATGTATTGCTTTTGTTAATGTGCTGTTACCATCCTGATTTCCAGTTCTATCCATGTAAAAGATGACCTGACTGTGTTCTACATGATGTTTTAAACACCAAAATGGTTTTAATTTAATAACCTTGTTTATTTCTGTTAGTTTTAGTTTGGTAGCTAGAGGAAAGATAGATGTTGCACTAACATCACATTATATATAAATTATTGCACTTATCTAGGTAAATTTTTATGAGTTTGTCTGACCAACACAAATCAGCTAATCCATCTTTGATATATTTTCCATCTCCAGATAATACAACATTTGGCAATCTTTTATCACTAATCTACACTTTTAAGTTATTCTTATCTGCACAATTTATGCTTTTCCATTGCTTGAGAGTAGGGCCATTTACTTTTTTATGGTTTTTCTTAATATTCCAAGATTGACTGATTCTTGTTTTATAAATATTCTAGGAAATTCAAGAGCTGCTTGTTTCTTGGAAGCCTTATTTCGATGCTTCCTCTTGTGTTTTCATTCATGCTCCTTCGAGCAATCATCATGTGCTTTTTAATGGGGATAAACCTTATTTCAGTCACCAGTTCTGTGCTGTTCGAAACGTTCCATTGACTGTTCGTAGGCCCACCTTAAAGGAAGCCAAGCATATATATAACCAGCTTACACATATTGCTTATGAAGAGGAGGATAAGGAAACTCCACGAGGCACCAAAGAAGATGTGTTGTTAAGTGGGAGCACCATTGGTAATGGCAAGCAGGACTCCTGCAAAGAGGGTTTAGGTTGTAGGGATGCTTCTGAAAATCCTTCAATCAATGTAAAATCTGATGTTATATCAAGCGAGAGTGATAGTGAAGTAGTTTGTACCTCAACACCTTTGCACGAAGCAGCACAATCTGGAAATGCACAAAAAGTGTTGGAACTCTTAGAGGAGGGTTTAGATCCTTGTATTAAAGATCAAAGAGGGCGAACCCCATACATGCTGGCCAACGAGAAGGAAGTCAGGAATACTTTTAGACGGTTCATGGCCTCAAACCTAGATAAGTGGGATTGGAATGCTGCTAAAGTACCTAGTGCCTTAACTAAAGAAATGGAGGAATCTCAAGCGTCTAAGCAGGTATTTTTTATTTCTTTTTCTTGCTTTTGTGGCTGTTCTAATAGCATAACAGTATCAGACTTGTTGGCAGGTTAATTTGATTAACCTCTGATGAGGTATTATGTATCATAAAACACTACAAATATTCCAGAATATATGAAGACAGAATTGTGTGTAAAATTACATTCTGGATTAAGCTGGCTGAGTATTGGTCAATGTTTTCTTTCTTCCTATAAAGAATAAACATCTTTAGGTAGCTATCAACCATGAGATTTTTAAAGTCAATAGAAGCACATTTTTGTTGCTTCATGTGTCTCATGCTGCCAGATCTTGCTTTGAATTGTCAAATTGTGCTACTTGTTTCTCTCTCCTTCACCCCTACACCCCACCAAAGAAAGATTTTTGGAAAATTTTTATCCATTTTTCTTAGAATTTATTCTTTTGTCATTATTTGTCTTCTCAATTGGGGAACATCTCATCATTGGATAACTTGGTTGTTGCTCCTTGGATATCTTTAGGTCCTCTGTTTGCTGATAACTTTATGTTCCATATCCACTTCTGATGAACTGTCTTTCTGTCTCCCTATGTGGTTGCTCAGGCAGAGAAAGATGCCAAGAGGAAAGCAAGAGCAAAGGAACTAAAGAAATTGCGTAGAGCCAAAGAAAAGAAAGCTCAGGTAATATTCCCCATTAATTAATTCTGATATTGAGGAAAAATATGTATCAAACTGCCTGCTCCACATTTCTTCTCCCACCCCCTTCCCCCCCCCCCACCCCAAAAAAAAAGGAAAATAAAGTAGAAAAAGAAAGAATATAGGATTGTAAGAAGAAAAAGGCTCCTCGCCTTAAGGCAATGAATTCTTGCATCCAACATTAAGAACAATAAGACACGTGTTCATCAAATGTGGCTTTTAATTTGATTTCTGACTTTGTTTACTATTTGAGCCGCATATTCAGTCGGAAATGATTTTGAATTTGCTGTCTGGCATGCAGAAGGTGCATGTTTCCCATCTGTCTTTGTGCATCTGTGCAGGAGAATGGAGGGGGAAGTGGGACTCACATTTTTTATTGTCTGGAAGTTATCTTTGAGGTTTCTAAGTGAATTGAATTTGTTGATGTTTATGAGGAAGATTGGTAGTAATATATATGAAAGGAGTTAGTTTTTCATTGCATCTTTCGAGTATTTGCATCATTAATTTTAGGATATACTCTCTTTTTCCTTGATATGCTTCCTTTTTTCCTGGCTTGGTCTAGTTTCAAGTTGTTTGCACATTTGGTATTCACATGTTTGCTATGTCAATATGCAGGCTGAGGCTGCCCAATCCCAGAATACTGCAGCAATTTCACACAACAGGCCCACTGTACCACCAGTTGTAATGGGACAATCTCAAACTGTTGGTGGATCATGGATCTCCAAAGAGGTGGGAATAAATTTTTTTGTTAATCATGATATGGTGCATGATAGTAGAATTTTATCAGTGACATCTTGGTTTGAATTTGTTAATTTGATCTTCTGACCTTTCAGGTAGCCTCTGGTTTCTGTTATTTTTTTCACTGTAATCACCTTGTCCCATAAAGCATCATAAGGACTATTCTAAATGTTTTCCTTTGTTATTCTCAACCAGGAGGAACTGAAGAGAGCACAGGCTGTTGAGAGGGAAAAGAGAGCTGCTGCTGCTGAGAGGAGGATAGCTGAAGCAGCAGCTGCTGCTGCCCGTCGATGCTCAAGGCAGTAGCACAACCGTAGGATCAAGTACTTCACGACCCAAAAGTGGAGAAGCTGGTGATATTAACTGCTCCTGTTGTAATACATCATTGGCTGGAAAAGTTCCCTTTCACAGGTATAATTACAAGTATTGCAGCACATCATGCATGCATGTTCACAGAGAGATTCTTGAAGATGGATAACTTCAGCAGTCGAAGTCATAACTATATAAATTTTTTATTCCAACTTAGACATAGTTGAAATTTTCTTGATTTTTGATTGTTGTGTCAGATTTTTCATATTCATTTACAAATGGAGTACAAAGTGTAATATATACATTGCTAGACAAAATCTTTTCCTTTTCCCCACTTTGCTAATAGAAAAATATCCTTTTAATAATCAAATTCACATAGTTTGGCTTCTCTCTGCTTTCGATGTTAAGATTAAGGATCGAAAAGAGTGCTGTTACTTGTCTTCATTATATCCCTTTTTTCCTTCATTTACTTTGCATGGAAGAGATCTCTGATCCCTGTCAAGCACAATTCCCATTGCTATTTGTTCCTGCAACTTCTGCTTCTCCCTAAAACCAATGAAAATTTTGTGCACATGCCACATCTCCAGACCTGTATCATTTTCCAGATGAATGAAGAGCGTCTGTAGTTTGTACAAGATTGTCCTACAAGGAATGGAACTTGATTAAGATACGAAGCTCTGATCTGAATCTGGCTTACTAATTTATCAAGCTTCAACTCACATAAAAAAGAAATTAATCTGATATCAGCTCTTCCTCATGCTGCTGATCAAGTCGCCTCTTCGTGTAAATGCCAATGAAAACTGTAGCCATGAGGGATGCACAGAACCCAACAATGTTGAATATTATCTGTCTGGTTGATAGTGTTCTCTTATCTTGTGTTGCCTCTGCAATGGAGCGTATCAAAATCCCACTGCAAAACAGAATTTCAGTTCCAAGTTACAGGAACAGAACAGAACGAAGCATGGACCTAGCTAGCTGTAGTTTACAGACATGGAACAGAGGAGGAGCGAACCTGTAGAGTGCAACAAAAACTTCAGGCACCATGCCC